AAATTTTGCAAATGTTTTCGAGTGTTCCGTCCAGCCAGCAGCCTTTTGTATTAAATCAAGATTAATACCGGATCTAGAGGCGGTCGTAGTGACTGCACGTTTAGTACCGTATGCTCCGAATATGTTCGTGTTAATACCGCTAGCTGTTAAGACCGATTTTATTCACCTACTGATAGATTGACTACTGGCTGGATGGAATGGTTTTTTGTGCGTTAGTAGCAGCCATCGTTTGTTTTCTGTTACAGTCCTTATCGATTTTGTAACTTCCAGATAACGATCCAGAGTAGATGCAATACATAATTGGGGTTGATCATTGAAGTAAGGGAGTACTAAGTTGGGCTATAGTCGATTTTTTCCCGAAGTTTTTATTCTTGCTGGGATTCTTATCTCAACTCTATCATCTTGGCGTAAAATATTAACTAATTCTATTTTTGATATGGTCTGAGCTCTTTGTGCAGTTGCCAATGCGATTAGTGTAGTTAATTTTAATGCCAACTGTTCTAAATTGAGGTTGTTATTGGGATATAGTTTACCTAAGTAATTTAAGACAGGTTGAGGGTCCCAAGTAATAGCGTATTTGGGTTTCGGCGGTTTTATATTAAAAAAACCTTTTAAGAACCTTTTTATGATATTTTCTCCCTCTAAATCTATATCTATTATAAGTGAAAGAGCTGCTTTGTGAGAGTTTATTTGCATACGTATTTCTATATTGTTTTAATGTGTTTTCCGACAGTGAAGAGATGATTATTTTTATGGTGTCTTCACTCAGGTTCTTGCGTAGATATGCGCCCCTGATAATTTCCCCGCGACTAGGACAAGTTTCTGGCATAGGGGATGATGTGATCTGAAAGGAGATGAAAGTAAATTCCTATGAGGTCCTAAGGTTATTGGTTTCTCTATTAAAAGTTCCCGAAAAATAGGATACCATGATTGTGAGGGCCAGTCTGGTACAATAAGTATACCTTCAGCTTTTTCCTCTATAATCTTTTGCAATACTTTTGGAATTATGCAAAATGGAGGGAATGCATAAAAATTGATTTTTCCCCAGTTTATAGTAAATGCATCAACAGAGACTGAATATGGATCAGGTAACCAAGAAATGAATTTTTCGCATTTTCGATTTATATTTGTTGCAAATAAATCAATTTCTGGTGGTCCAAATTTACTAATTATTTTTTCGTAATGATTTTGAGATAATTCATATTCAGTTTCTGTAGGTTTACATCGTGATTCTTGATCGGCTGTTATGTTTTCTTTAGATTTGATATAGGCTACATGTACTAGTATGTCCCTTTTTTCACACCAGTCCCAAATTGTCCTTGTTACATTATTTAAAACTGAAAATTGAATGCTGCCCATCCTATTTATGCAAGCTATGGCTGTTACGTTATCAATCCTTAAAGGTATGTTGGTATTTTTAGTATTTGAAGCAAAGCATTTCAATGCAAAAAACGCCGCTTGAAGTTCTAAAATATTTATATGTAACGTTTTCTCGCTTGTATTCCAAAAACAGTGAGTTTTTAGACCATCGCAAGTTGCACCCCATCCACTAAGTGAGGCATCTGAGAAAATTTCTTTTGTGAAAACGTTTGCACTGAAATCTTGTTTGGAAAGGGGTATCTTTTCTTCCCACCATTCAAATTCTTCCTTTAGGTGTTGGAGGACTTGCATTTTTCTTTCATAATTGTTATTATGTTCTCTAAGTGCTCTAAATTTAACAATCTCGAAAGGTTTGATATGTAGCCAGCCATATTTGATTGCTGGACAGGAAGCAACCAGTTTTCCCACAATTTGTGCAAATTCTCTAATTTTACAGACATTTTTGTATTTAATTTTTTTAGTAACTTTACATAGCTTTTTGCTTTTTTCCTCGGGCAATTTTATTGTAAGGTCTAGTGTATTATATTGAAAACCCAAAAAGGTGCAGATCTGTGTGGGGTTTAGGTTACTTTTTTTGGAATCAATTATAAATCCTAAATTTTATAGTTTTTGATGTATTTTTCCTACACTCTTTTTGTGATTTCCCTATGATTAACTAATCATCTAAATAGACTACCGATTTAACTCTCGAGTTTCTTAATTTTTTTATTGCTGGCTTAAATATTTTTGTGAATATGTAAGGGGCTACACACAACCCAAAAGGTAAGCAGTTAAATTGATATAAGGATTTGTTAAACAAGAATCTCAAATATTTTCTATGTTTTTTAGCTATTGGAATTAAGTAGTAAGCATCTTTTAAGTCTATTGTGGTTAGGTAGTTATTTTTCATAATCAGTTTTTGGGCTAAACGGTAATCTTCAAGTTTGAAGTGCGGTACAGTGATAAAGCGATTTAACTTTTTTAAATTTAAAATAAATCTTTGCTTTCCATTTGATTTTGGCCTTAAAAAATAGCTAGATAAAAATTCATTATTGCACCGATGTTTTCTAATTTCTTAATTTCATTATCATACAATTTTATTTCTGAGGTTTTGACGTTTTGTTTTGGCGGGTGAGTCTGCAATGGATTTTCGTTAAAAGGTATAACATAACCCTGAACACAATTTAAAAGGGTGTTGTTGTTTGTTATTTTTTGCCAGTTCTTAAGGTAAAATGACAGGGTACCTGCATATTTTCCTCTTACCTGTTCAGTATTATTTATTTCCTGTAACTGTAATGTGGCCTCCCCCTCTCTGATTGTCTTTCCTTTTTCTTCGTATTTTGCAGAGTCCATTGTTTGTATTTGGTTCCCTGAAATGGGCGCTGGTAGTTTAAAGAACTATTAAAGCGCGTTTGAGGTTTAACTATGGTCGATTTTTTCTTCTTAATATATTTAAGTTCACTCCAACTTTTTTAACCGTTTGTGCAGATTTTAATCTGTCCTGCAAATTATTCCCAAAGAGCATATCTGAGATGGGTGCCTCCTGAATTAACTTCCTATGTTCTGTGCTTAGGGTTGGCAGAATTAAATATCTTCTGTGCAGAGACAATGAATGGATTGTGTCAGCTATTGATTTGGCAGCATCCGCTAAAGGTGTTATGTAATCTTCAACTTTCGCTTTTAAAAGTGTTTTAGTAAGTGGTAGACCTAAAGCTGTTAATGCGGCAGCTAGTTGTTTTTGGAGAAGGCTTAAGAATCGATCCTGCCTTAGAACACTACTGTCCACTGCAGTTTCTATTTCAGGATTTAATACTGGAAACTTCAACGCTGGGCAGTTAGCTGCGATGACATTTATCTATATTTTTTGTTTTTTCCTCACTACTTACTCCTTTCTTTAAATAACTATTCCATCTACAAACAATTTCATCGTGTAAATCAGGGCCTGCAGCGCTTTCTCCATCTGGTTTCTCGCCAAGTAAGTTAGTGAATTCAAGATCATCTTGAGACATTTGTGCACTTCAGCTTCAACAATTGAAATGCCTAAAATAAGCAATGAGTTCAATGTATATTGGGTAAAAAACCACTTTTTTTAATAATGTATAATTAAATTAATTAATTAATACAGTAATAAATAAATAAAATTATTTATAAATTTTTAAATTAATTGTTTCACCCTGTAAAAATTTTTTAAAATTTAAAACATCTGCAAATGTTTTAATTTTTACATATAACTCACATCAGTGTCTGCCAACACTGTTGAGCTATTTAAGCAATTTATTTATTTTCCCTATACATCTGCTAATGTAGGTTTTTTTTTTAATCTATAATCAGAATTACTGCATTCATTGCCTTGTAATGTTAATAAGTTACACCGACAATGATGAGATTAACAATAGGTACTTACTGTTTGATTCGCCGTCACTGCCCGATTCTGATGAAATTCTTGATTCGAGTTTTTTCTGAATTTTCTCCAATTGCTTTTTTAATTTTCCATAAAATTTGTCTTTTTCCCTCTTTTTTGAAATAGAAGAAACCACACTTTCACTGTCACTTTGTCTTTTTCCCATTTTTATAATTCTTTTAAATGTTTTAATTTAATTTCAGTCGAGTATTTTACCATTCGGGTACAAAATTGTGAATGAGGTATTTAATGGTTTGCTGATAAGAGCTGGTTTTTGTGACTCAGCTATAAAAACTTGTACAGAGTTTTAACTTTGGAAGCGAAAACTTATTTTTTAAAAAATGAAACTTTATTAACTTTTGTGAACTTTACAATGCTAACTTTTGAGAACGTATTCTAATACAAAGAACAAGTATCGAGTCTAAACGAATAATGAATAATATAGTACATGTTTAAGTATTTATATGAAAGAAAAGTAACATTATCTTGTTTATAATATTTACAAGGTAACAATTATATTTTAGGTGATTAAGGGAATATTACTAAAGGTTAATTGTAAGTTATTGATAAATATTTAGACGATCAATAATGTTAATTAATTTTAGTTTGTTTGTTTTCTTGCTTCCGTGTTGGTCTATCATAGTGAAGACTAGTTTGTTTTGAATTTGAAACAATTTGTGACAGCGGGAAAAATATTAAACTCACCCCAGTTATTTTTTCTGCTGAGTCTGCTATTGCTGCAGCGCCGTGCTGCTTCGTGGAGCTCCATGCAGCTGTTGTGGGTGCTCGTTTTTATAAAAGGAGATCATTTCATGCAGGGTCACCATTGTGGGAACTTTAAATGTGTTTATCCCATCAATAAATGAATTGTCGTTGGAGATATTATTTTAGAAGTATAATTGTAAAATAAAAATCTATGACATGATGTATATAAATAATTGTAATTCATAATAATAGTTTTGTTTATCTTCGAATATTTCCTCTCCCGGCAATCAGGGAGCTACGGGCGAAGAGAGCTTAATATTTCTGAATTTTTGCCTTTGCGCCCTGACATTCTGAATCGTACTTTCTTTTATCTCCACTACCCCTTACTGTACTCTCTAATAAAAAAGTATATAATATAGGAATACGAGATAGTGTAAAATTATTGACTTTACCTTAATTATTGGTTGAATATCGTCAACTTTCTTTACATTGCTACATCAACGAGTACATGTTCTATTTGTTTCTTGGAATATACCTTCTGGCCAGTTTTTTGAAGTAGTGATATAATTTAAAATTTCGTTGTCAACATCTATCGATGATAGGAAATTCAAAGATACAGATGATGAACAATCCATTAACATGTACGGAGTTACTGAACTTTCATACTGTTCTGTTAATTCGTCATTAATATACTGTCTGGAATTTTAAATGACAAATCTAATAACTGCATATATAGTTAAGTTGTTACATTTTTAAGCTAGTGTAATCTCAACTAAATTTTCAGATTCGGATAAAAAGTCCACGTATGTAGTTATCTCCGGAGTAAGATTTTTTTGTTTACTTTCGTTATATTTCCAAATTGTAAACCTGAATCGGTAATATTAGGCATTGTGTAACATTCTTCAAGTTGTAAGTTATTTTCAAGACTAATTATTCATAAAATTATCTGTCTGGGAAACTACTTCAGAAGCAGGAGTTTATGAAATAGGTAATAGTAATAGCTTTTTCATTTCTCGAGTAACATTTTTCAAGTTCCAAATTATTTACAAGACTGCAAATGCTCCTCAAATTATGTGTCTGACAAACTATTTCATAGGCAGTGGTTTTTGGAGTAGATAATATGCATATTAATCGTTTTTCATTATTAGAAATGTTTAAATAAGTAGAGTGACTTTCTTCAGGTATTTCAAGTATAAAGTTATACGGGTCTAATTTTGAAATAGATTAATCTTTTAGTGAGTGTTCGGTCAGATTTAATTCCGAAAACACAGTTCCATTGATTTGACTAATGCTAGTGTCAGATGATTTTTCAGATATAGTAGATGTAGATGTGTTACAAATTTAAGTAACATTGATGACTTCTTCGGTAACATTGGCAAGCTTATTCTGCAGAAATTCACTTCTTTTCATTTTTTAATATTACCTAAATTTTACAGAAAACTATTTCAAACTTTATATTATTACAAAAATAGCTCCTAAATTAAACTACATAAGAACAAAATCGTTGTTTCTTATTATTTTCTATACAGGTAGTTTCATTAGGAAACGGTAAAAAGATATAGTTCTACACATAAACCATTATTCTAAAGCCAAATGAGACATTTTGCTCAGATGATAAGAAGCCCATTAGATTTTTAGAAAGCCCAAATCGGGCTTCTTAAAAACAACATGCATACAATGCAGACATTGAAGATGTACCAAATTTAGTGAGAAGTTAGACTGGCGTTATTATCGCTGCGATACTCTATCGACTTCTTACATAAATTTTGATGTATGGGTAAATATTCGGTTGTGGGATACACTGACTGATTTAAGTGGCAACATAGTGGGTGGGTTGGCTCAGTGGTTAGAGCTATGACTTTGAGATCGAAAGGTCTCAGGATCGAATCCCACCGGTGGCAGGAATTTTTATTTAATTAAAAAAAATTAAATATTAATTCTAATGCATAGGTAGGATGCTACCTACTTTCTGTGCCTAAGCACCGAGGTGGATTTATGTCAATCCAAAGTTGGATGCCGACTAACTACAGTGAAGAAGGGGGTGAGTCGTAGTAAAAGTTATGTTCTTCAGTGGGCGCCACGAGCTTAACCTCACATCCAACAATCCATGTGACAGTTCACTACCAAACTCCAAATAGGAAACTATAGCCTCTCCTCTACAAGGCCATCAAGCGGCTACAAATCGAGTATGCTCCAAATATATTAAAAGTGTACTTTACCATAAAAACAAATGCTCAACCAGATGTTTATAAAATCAAACAGACAATTGGCAAGTAGGGATAAATAATAAGTTAAATAATAATATATACCCAAGTTTAATAATATAAATATATAAATTATTGTGTTGACATGGGGGGTCAACTTCGTTACCACTATGAAATGTACTGATATTTAACAAATAAACAAATAATTAAATCACTTAGTACCTTACTAACAGATTCCCCAACTATTAACAGTAATCCAGTATCACTGGGAGTAATATTTACAACTAAAATACTATATCAAGCTTAAAAATCATTAAATGGGACTAGGGGCAATCGTAAAACTATAACACATGAAGTGTGTACTGTATTTATCAAAGAAAACAATTAATAGTGTACTAATTACAGATGCTAGGGGTAAAAACAAGTAAAATACTGTTACTTATTAAAATATTAATTACCCATAAATAATATATAACCCACGAAGAGCTCTTGGTGAAGTGTTTCGGGTTTAATAAAATGTACTGTGAACCATAAACCCCTAAACCTCGTTTACATTAGGTTTAGATAAAATTATATACTAATAACAACCCCCAATAAAATAGATTAAATAGTAATAAGTGAAATAAAAAAAAATAAGATAGCAAAAACTTGCGGTACACTGTGACTTCTTCCCAGTAGACGTTGATATCTCTGCTTCGTTAGCAGCATACGAATCAATCAGCTGGTCACAAGATGTGTTGGCCCTTCACAAGGAGTATCAGCCTGTCACAAGAATACTGGCTCGTACCAAGAATACTGGCCCGTCACAAGAATACTGGCCCGTCACAAGAAGTGTGTGCCCGTCACAAGAACCCTAAAGAAAACGTATAAGATAAAACACAGTAATAACTATTTATCTCTGGTTATATAAAGAAATTAAAATTAAATAACCAGGTACCTACATAGCCTTCTCGTGAAGCGAGATCTAGAAATAGATAAAACTACTCAACGTTTACTAGTTAATTAAAGTTCGGCTTATCAATTTATGTAGGTAATCTTCAGATGTCACTTCAAAAAAAACAGTAATACCAACATACCTTAGTGACAGATAGGTGTCCCATCAGCGCCCTCTATTACGAAATAAATTCTTGACAGAGAGGACTAAAATAAGCAAACAAAGCCTCTAAAACGAAATAAACAGCCTAACTAAACTCAAATAGAGGTCCTATCTACCCCAAACTGATCATATACTCGCACGTAATGTCAGAGCGGAAACGCTAAACCGACATCTTAAATACAGGACAGCCACATGCTCACCCAGTGTCACAGAAAGACCGCTCTGTTCGAATATCGAACCAAAAGCACAGTGGTTAAAAATGCGGGTATAGAAGGACCCATTAAATAATTTCACACCGATAAAAACTAGTGTATTCTTATTTTTATGAAAAACCGGTATAAGGCCAAATTTAAACGTTACAAACTCCCCCCTTCCGTCAAGAAATTTACCTGTAAATTTCTCTGAAAGCTTACTCTAAAACCCTACACAACCCTTATTAAAAAAAGGAGAGAAAACACCACAATATAGGCTGATTTTCTTCAAAAGTTGTCGAATAACCTTTGTAATATGGTAGTTTATTTCCATTTCCTGGTAGGTATATAACATTTCCCTGATCTAAGGTGATAAATTTCCCGGTTTCCTCCTGATTTTTTTGAATATCTTTTTTATTGCCTTGATTCGCTGAAGCACTCAGAAAGTCAATATTGTGCAATATTAGCTGATTTTCATCAAAAGTTGTTTCTGTGGTAGTTTCTGTGACATCTCCAACAAAGACAACCGGCATTTCCATGACATCAAGTTCTTCTTGTGTCGGAATATTCAATTCATTTATATCTGAAATTTTCACAAAATGGTTGTTTTAAATTTTACTTTGCTGATTTTTCACTAGATGGGAATTCATTGGAATTGCAATCAATACCTCAAAGCTAGAATTGATAATTTCATGCAAGGAGATAATGGAAAAATACCGATTTTTCATGCATATTTATACCCTAAATGAATTTTTATTTGAAAATTTTATTACTGATTTACTATTTTTTTGTTTAACCCCGTAATTCAAGTCTTCGAATTCAGAATATAGTTGAAAAGAGCTAGATAATAATAAATGAGGTGGGATCCGAACAAGTTTAAAGAAACCTAACCTATAATCTTGACGCATTCCAATAATTCATTATTGATGAATAGTAATGGAAACTACATACCTAAATTCAAATACGTTTCACTGAGTTCATGTTCTGCACTTTTCAATGCCATTTCTATTATTCTGTTAGCTCTAGACACACTGATAAAATTATTTATTTGTATTAAAAAATATATCTTTTTACTCAAATAAATATTTGTTTCCTATGGTCCAAACTAATATTTATTTGATAAATTTTAAGGATTTTTTTGCCATGTGTACCCTTAAATAATTTGAGATAAATAAATCGATATTCCATTATAATAAACTACTAGTCAAAATCAAACAAATACATATTTGTCCTAATCACTAACTGAAAAAATGAAACAAATAATTATTATTAATGAATGTCATATAAATAAACATTTATTTAATCTTATTCACTTTGTGGAAACATCAAACATTTATTTATTTCCTCAAATCCATTCAAGTGTAAAATTCAAAGACATATTTATTTGCTTCAAATCACAAACAAATGAATATTTATTTAAATTTATTTATCTATTGGAAAATTCAAACAAATAATTATTTCACTCTTCTACCACAGAACAAAACTCAACGAAATATTTATTTGCTTTAAATGTCCTATAAATAAATATGTATTTAATAATTAGCACATGTTGGCAAAATCAAATAAATATTTATTTCATAAAAAATTTTTAAGAACAAAAATCAAATAAATATTTATTTCATCATACTTTTTTGCAAGCAAAAATCAAATAAATATTTATTTCATAGTATTTTCTTGCAAGCAAAAATCAAATAAATATTTATTTCATCATACTTTTTTGCAAGCAAAAATCAAATAAATATTTATTTCATCGTACTTTCTTGCAAGCAAAAATCAAATAAATATTTATTTCATCATATATTCTTAAAAAACAAAAATCAAATAAATATTTATTTCATCATATATTCTTAAAAAACAAAAATCAAATAAATATTTATTTCATCATGTCGTCCTATGAGCAAAAATCAAATAAATATGAATCTACTTTTAAATGCCAGATAAATAAATATGTATTTAATGCTAATTGCCTAATGAAGAACTCAAACAAATATATATACTTTATCACCCTGTAGAATGAAAACGAAGACTTTTACAGGAAAATTATACTTTGCTTTTCTTAATAATTGGTTAATATTTACAAGTCCCCCAGTTTACGGTAATTTATTCTGCAACTCCCTATATATTTATTTGATGAAAAAGCAACAGAAGTTCAACACAAAATTCAAATGCAGACCAATAAAATTGTATAAAACTGCAAAATACCCAATTTCAGAATGTACGACCCTGATTCATTAAAATCCTTAAACAATACCTTTCGGACCATATACTCCTTCCAGCATTGGATTAGAAAATTTGTAATACGTGAGAAGTTTGTCAATAAATACAAATATTCTTGATGCACGCAGGAAGAAAAATTTAGGAAATCGGTGCTGACAACCATGATTTACCACTATAATTCAATTTTCAGATAGAATTAGTAAATATCAATTCATCATAGAAAAAAAAAATTTGAATGTACTACCTTTTATTGTTAAATTTGCCGCTTTAATTTTTAAATAAATTTCTAGTAATGTAGTTTTTTTATAGTTTGTGTTGAGTATCAGGGTCAAATATAAATTTAAACGAATATAAATCTGTAAAAAAAATATTTTATTAATGTTAACTATAAAAGTGCATGTTGTGTGATGATACATTGCAAAACTTATACTAAAAAAACTAAAATAAACTTATGAGAAAGTTAACCTAATATCAAGATCAAAACAAAAGTATTTTATAAGTTATGAAATAATATCTAGTCAAGATCCAAAAAATATAACCAAAGTATTATATGTAACAAACATGAATAGGTACAGGGACGACAAAAAAATATTCTTAAAAAGTTCATAAAAAATTTACGGAAATTAATTTTGTGTTACGGTAGAAATTAAAAAAACTATAAAGATTTCATGCTTGTATTTCCATAGCCTGTAAATCTGCCATTATACAAATTTCACTTTCGAAAATGTTTTGGTCAAAATCATATATTTGTACGTTTTACATGTTCTGTATAATTAACATGAAATTTTTCAACCACAAGAAATAGTCTCCCCGAATAACAATAAAAATTAAAATATTTAAAGGAAACAAAAATATACAGTAACTCGTTATTTTAAAACAAAAATTTTAAGTAAATTATATGACGCAAATTACAGTTCTTCCATCTCCACTGTAATGAATATTATAAGGACAAAGATTTGGAAGATTTTTATAATAATAGCTCCGAAGATTAGTATTCCTATTGAAAAGTATTTCAAAAGCCTGCATTTTATTAATAAACCCAACTGTCTGCAATTCTGCTAATACTAAAACAACTTTATCTTCGTTCAAAACAATATGTTTTATTTGACCAAAAACAGGTACTACTTCATTATCAGATACTTGTAATGCAAAACCAATTTTTAAAAATACATTATTAATTCTTATCCATGGCACTGTAAACGCACCTGCGTTTAAATTTTCAATAAAATTGCAATTTTCATTTAAAACTTGTAAATTTGAACTTGTTGGACCAAATTCAACATCGTCAGAGAAGCATTTTTTAATTGTTAACCTGTATGAAAACCTAAGAGAATCCTTTATAAATAATGTGACTAAAAGATTCTTTTTACAAGTAACTACATTAGCTGTGGACTTTAAAAGTTTGTGATATGCCTCATATCTCATACACCATATATGCCGAGGTGGACCCACCTCTCTTATTAACCTTGGATAGTGTAAAAGTAAATGATACTTAGGTCGCAGATGCTCATTAAATAATTTACAAAACAATGTATGATGTTCTTTAAGAAGAAGTTCTAAATAGTCAAGAAGCTTAGGAGAAAACGATGAGCTGAGTAAAATTTGTAACATCTCGAATATTATAGTGTAAAAGTTCCATGCAAGTTCATCCTCTCTTATTAAATCACCTACAAGAATACCAAAATATGCCGAGAGCGATAGCATTTCTGACGCAGACATAATTAAGTGATTTTTCTTTAATTGATCAGCTTTTATTTGAGGCATTGGGTTTCCTAAATCAGCTTTGGAAAACTTAAAAAATTTAATTCTATTATTTAAACGATCCAATGTAAAATACTTTTTTTTATTAATTCATTTATAAGATATGCCATATCATACCGTAAAATTCCTTCAAGAAGATCATGCATCAAGTCACAGGAAATATTTTTTGTTAAGTGAAAATTAGGTAATTTATGCCAGATACAAACTTCTTTAACTCCACGACTTAACATACTACTATCTAATTCGTAATTCTCAAGTGTGCGAGGAATTAAATTGTCCTGATTAACTTCTACCTTTGATGTATTTTTATTTATTATACATAGGCGGCAAAAATAATCGGAATTAAAACTTTCTGAAAACCCTAATATCGAGTTTAGCCCTAAATTATCCCCTAAAATTAATAACAAAGTAAAATAAACATGTTGGTTTCCTTCTTCAGTACATATAATAATGCCTTCCTTCTCTAGATGTAAAAGATTATCAATTAGCTCAATAAACACCTTGAAATTTCCATAAGCAAGTCTATCAGAAGAAAAAAATAATTGACCTAAAAAAATGTTTTCTAATAAAGAGGCATATTGAGGTGGAATGCAAGCTAAAGAAACATATACAGCACCAATTTTGTATATTCCTGTTCTAGAAACTAAAGGATTACAAGGCTCGAAATCGTCAAAAAACAAAAGTATTGGAAAAACTATTTTCTGTCGAAATTTGTTTTGTACTTCCTTCTATAGATTACCCTGATAAATACTTGAAATAATGTTTTGCTCTTGAGAAGTCTCATCATTTATATATTTTATAATAGTACTGTAAACCCCAGGCAATTCAAGAAATTTTTTAAATCTTTGTTTAATGCATATTTTTTGCCCTTCTGCTTTTCTAATAGAAATATCTGGCGCACCAGCTGAATCGATGTGTGTTAAGTAAGAGCGTTGGCCTATATAAAATGGTTCTGGATGTATATAGGTATCTTTGGCCTCAAAATATTTCAGTCTTAAAAATTCTGATTTTAATGTTGTAAATGACTGATTTATATCAACAAATATTGTATTTAACGTTGCTTTAATATCGTTAGATTCCGGCAAATGTACAAGTTTGTTATTTAGTAAAGTAAAAATACTATCTACTAATTCTTTAGTGCAAAAAATGCACTCTTGTAATATGCATGCAGTCTGTGGAATGTTGTATTTTTAAAGTTTTTATTTTTTAATAGTGATTCATTATTACCTTGTTGTTTATTTTTCTTTGGAGAAATCAATTGTTGTCCTTTAAAAGATTTAAGCAGATGCAATTTGTTTCTATATTTTTCCACAAGTTTGCCCCTAGATCGCACTGGCTTGTTGTCCCTAGAATCTCTGTTTTTAATAGGAGATATAAAATAAGTTGAACTTTTTTCATTGGGCAACAATTTTTCTATTTGTTTAGCTAGATATCTAAAATGGTCATGATCCAGCCTTCTATATTTGTTTAGTGCATAGGTAGTAACAATGTCAGCAATCCTATCTCTGTCGTTGTTTGTTAAAGTCTTATTCTTTGCCTTTTCTAGTAAGGCCTGAGCAAAGATATCATTAGAGAAAATATCCTTTAAGTTAATATTTTCAATGGTTACAGTCTCTAGGTTCTTTTCAGGATCGTACTTCTCCTTGGAAACCACGGTAAAAGTTGATGATCCAGAAATCGATTCTAAATAAACACTTGAGGATGAGGAAGGCTGTGGACTTGGTGCAGTTTGCACTGATGAACAAGTTTCATTCCCAACGTAAATTGGCAACTCATCAACATTTAATATTTCAATGCCAGTAAGAGAGTCATTCGAGAAGGATTCATCAAATTTGTTCTTTTTAAATGCTGGCTCTACATGCTCTTCAAACTCAGTTTGCTGCAAAATAAAATGTAGAGATAGACATATTTTTATCATAATGAGTTATTTTTGTTTTTGTTGGGCTTTGTGAATCAGAATATTATTTTCTGAACAAAAAAGATGATTTTGAATTTGAATTAAATGTAACGAAACAGTAACTGGCAAAACTGCACCAAATGAGAAACTTATTATTTATAGCCTTCACAAAAAATATTGTTCTTGATAAAAGTTGATGCATAACAAAAACTAATTTAGTAGGTGAAAAATGTTCATTAGGTTAAAGAGATTGCCAAAAAAAGTAAAAAAATGTGACTTTAAGAAAACACATTTATGAAGATAATTTTGTTAAATAAAGTCTTCCAAAAAGCAAGTTATATCTTTTTTTTTCGTGTCATATATAGTTTTTAAATAAAATAAAGTTTAAAACACGTTTTTACAAAATATATAGCATTTACCAAGGCATTTACAGTCTTTCGATTTTTGTAAATAAAAAGTTTAGACGGCAACTACACCAAATCACATAAATACCTACTTATTTAAGTAGGTATATATTGTTTTTTAGACATCAAAGTATGCCATTCACAAAGTACACATTCATAAATATTATTCCACACTATTTAGTGTATTGAAGAAATTGACGAATAATCTTCAGTATGAATAAAGAAACAATCATATATATCTTAAGCACACATTTAATAAAATATAAGCTTGAAGTAAAGACATTAGAGAAAAAAATTAGGTAATTTGCCAAAAATATGTACAGGATTATTCATTATAAATTGCCCACTTTTTGTCATCGTTATGAAAGCATATACAAATGTTTTGAATAAAAGTTTTATCGCTATTACTAAATTTTGTTAAAATTTCACTAAAAATACAGTGCTGTGTAGATTTTATGAGATACAACAAAAAAATGATTTTGTAAAAAGGAATATCCTGTATATTTCAAAAATATTAATATCTTAGAGAAGCCACAGAAGTTGGTAAATATGGAAGAGTTAAACATTATTAAAGTTATGAAAATGATAAGTGAAATTTCTTTAATAATATAATCAAAATGGTTTACAGTGATGAAGAATCAGTGCAAATATTCACTCAAGCTTAAGATATTATTTGACAATTAATTACTCAAAAACAGTATACCCTCGGGCATCCCATTTAAAAAACTTTTTTTTTGTTGTGAGTTTGTAATTTACTTTTAAATGATCAATAACTTCTGTAATCAAGTTACCTGTTGACATTATATTTCCTTCAAGATTATTGAAAATTAATAATTAGAAAATGGACAATATGAAGAAAGTATCAAAGTCTATGATGTACCACCTATTAATATTTCTAAGTGTAATGTCTTTAATATTTTAACATTTATAATAAATTTGAAATTGAAATAAAAAAATGTTTGTACAGTTTAGCAAATTAATAAAAAAAAAATATTTTAGTCATTGTGGTACTACAAAAAGTATAGTGTACCACTTGTGTAGAAAACCTATTCCACAGAAGTTTTACATATCACGAGGAATGTGTTCCATTTTTGTACTTGCACAATATACTATATCTGAGAAATCAATACAAATTAAATAAAGTTTCACTGGAGCACACTTTTAGACAGTCACTGAAGATATATTTTTCATTTTTTAAAGTAGTTAATTCCTATAATCTGAATTTGAAATTTTTTATACCTACAGGATGATTCCAAACTTTTTTTTAAATGTGTAGAAGACATTAAAAACAAATTTTTTAAATAACTTAAAAAAAAAATCTATAAAAAGTTACAAATAACATCACTATTAAATCATTATTAAAAACAACTTTCTTAAATAAATTTTCAAAAAAAAAATAAAAAAATAAAACCGAAAAACAAGGATTTCACTATTTATTTTTTTGAAAAATGTATTTGAACAATGTGTTTATTTTATTGATTTCTATACACAGCTAAAAACTAAGTATTCGCTTATCACCCTGCCTGCATTGATAATAGTAAGCATTATAAGACTGCTCAAATATGGCCATTTCCATAAACAAAAATAAAATACTCAAAATTAGTACCACAAAATATTGTAACACGAGTGTGGGTTGAAACTATGTATTTAAATAAAATACAAAATAACTATCCGAACGCGTAAACTATTTACAATTATTACTAATTACAATTGAAACGTTGATCCGCCACGCGCTGACCGGCTTTCTATCTTCCACTCCCTATTGACAGTGTCATATCATCAATAATCCATGGTAACGGCTTCCATGACCGTTCTCGATCATTTTTCACACTTTCTCCAAGTTTCTGTCAGCCTGCCCGATTGTAGGTTGGGTTTCCTGTCACCTTGACGGTTCGTTGTCTCGTACTGTTGTGGCAAACCCTGGCACTGTCTCGTCCGTAGAGCCAAACCGTTACACTATTATACTAAAATTACATGTATACACAGGCTACCAGTTTTGTCTTAAGAGCCATCATCTTCAGGCAATATATAATAATCTTATATATAGATTAGGGTCAAGTATAAGGATATCACAAATCTGTTAAGAACCTACACGGGTGCCTACAAGGGTACACCAAGTTGTACAAATGAGACTAAATTAATTAATAAACAGTTTATCAAAATTTATGTATGATTATCATATACTTTATGACCTGAAGATGGTTCTCAAACCGAAACTGGTAGCCTGTGTTTAGATGTAATTTTAATAGACTATTTTGTGTTACTGATTTTGAGCATTTTAGTTTCGTTAATAAAAATATAATAGGTAAAGTACTTAAGTACTTACCTACAAAGTAAAATTTTCTTGACAAAAGTAGGAATGGAGTGTCATCTTTGGCATAACTTTTTTAATCTGTATTATTATATATATATATATATATATATATATATATATATATATATATATATATATATATATATATATATTGTAATGTTCTCTATTAACCTCAAAATTTATAAATACTCAATAACCTAAACTTACCTCGGCTAGCTTTTCTTTTTAATATATTTTAGCACTTTATTTTATATGGAGCAAATTCTCTTTCTCTGAGTGGTGTCGGTTCAAGAAGTATTATATTTCATAAACTTCATTTTTATTTTATATTTAATTAAATTTAGTTTATTTTAGTTTATTTTAGTTTATTTTAGTTTATTTTAGTTTATTTTAGTTTATTTTAGTTTATTTTAGTTTATTTTAGTTTATTTTAGTTTATTTTAGTTTATTTTAGTTTATTTTAGTTTATTTTAGTTTATTTTAGTTTATAGAGAAATGATTCCTATATTTATGAAATTAAGCGATGAGATACTTAAATAAACAAACCTTTTATAAAAATAAAATTACTGTTTAATTTTAACAACAAAAACTATGTGCAAATTTAACAAATAGGTGTTTTAATACACCTGATACCATTGAACAGTTAAAAAAAAATATTTATCCTACTACACCTACTGACAAAATAACTCTTGTTAATAAAAATTATCCAAATCTAACAATTATTGTTCTTGTTAGATTTGGCTACAACTTTATAAAGAGTCAAACTCTAAACTATAATTATTATTAGAAAGAACAACTTGTTATGACTGTCTATGCATAATTACATCAATAAATAAAATGTTTTTATAAATACCGTATACACATTAAGGTATCACTGCTATGTCCATGTCACACTATTTCGATCGCCAACAAACTTCGTAAACTTTCTTTTTCTTTTCCTCCTCCAATATTTCCTCAAATAAGTATTTCCCTTTTTCAATGAATCGTGAACAAATTTGTTTATTTAAGTCTCCTGCATTCGTACATCTTTACATTTATAATTTTATTCCAAAATTTTTCTTGACATTTTTTTTTTAAAATTCAAAATTGATTAACTTTCAAACTGACTTTTTTTTTATCTAGAAACCATTTTCTCTATCTCTTAGTCTGCTTCTCTTAAGACTTCCTACAATATTTTTATAATACAGGGTTACTAATTTATTACTATTATTATTGTTATCATCATTATTATTAGTATGGTTATTATTATTATTATTATTAATTTATTTCATTATTTTAGAACACAGGGTGTTTTGATAACATATCAATATATATATATATATATATATATATATATATATATATATATATATATATATCTGTACCTCAGAACCAGAGTATGTTAAGTCCAAAAACTTTATTTTTCAGTAGAGCTGTTTAATTAATTTCGTATTAGACTTTTTCAAATTATGAAACACTGATTTTACTAAATATTGTAACTATTTCATAATTAAATAAGTTTTAGGCATAAGAATAAATGGCATAATGGCAAATTTTGGTTTTGTTTTTTGTTTTTGATTTAAGTGACTTAACATAGTTTTGTATAAACAAAAAATATTTTTTTTTGATTTAACACGCATGTTAAGTACAAAGGTATGGACTTGACATATTTACAGTGGACATAACATTTAGATAAATCGGAAGGCAAAAATACTACCTACTTATTTATTATATAATTTAATGCTTAAGTGATTACAGTTTGGTCTTTTAATAAAAAAAAAATTATTTTTTATCCATCATCTTCGTTATTTCCATATTCCAAATTTTTGTAATAGTCATGGAATCTTTTTGGTACCCATTTTAGAAGTTTTTGTAAATGGCTGTACTTTTTAGCTGAAATTTTTTTAGGACCCTCCCTAATTGGTGAAATCACTAAAGGAGCATAGTCATTTGGTTTGTTTCTTCTGTGAAAGTTAACTTCTGAAAAATCCTTACTAAAATCGGTTTTGTAGTAGATGATTCCAGGGTTATTTCTTCTTACTTGCAAGTGAACTGCATGAGATATCAGAAAATCGTTGCCTGCGCTGTCTTTTTTCTTGTTGATATATAGTGCAGTTGATCCCTCGAATAAATGTTTAAATTCTTTAAAATCAGAGTATTCCATATTGACTACGGTGAATTGTTTTTTTGTTCCACACAATCGGACCATCTGCTGCCAATCCCAAGGGGTTATGATTTGAAATTGTGAAAGTTTCTTTCTTTCACGCTCTATCGTGGAGTGAACGGCATCAGCCTCCAAGTGTGTATGTCCTCTGGCTAGAAAC